TCAACGTTAAATTTATTGCACAATAACAATTACACTTCAGCGGCATTAGTCCTCTTTATTCCCAAAATAAAGTATGACAAAGTCATTGTATTACGTTGCATTCTCCCTCCCCATAAATTCCGTCCCTAAACCAAATGGCAAATCGAACTGATTCTAGATGGATGAGATTCAGAAAGCTTACATTCAAGCCGGTTCTAATCGCCTAAGATGAGGAGAATTAATCTATTGGAATAAAAATATCTCTTTCGCAATGGATGTTATCACAAATTGCAACCTTCTGACATTTCACAACCTTTGTTTGTAATGATGAAATGAAATTTGGAGTAGAGGTGGGAGGGTGGCAGCACTACTGAGGTCGGCTTCAAATTACAGTGGTGTCAGATTCTGATCCTAACTAAATTCATTTAACCGTTAATTCTCTAAAGCAAGGATTTATCCCACCTTATTTCGGTGCAACCGGCCAAGAGAAGGTAGCAAATCACTGACTTGCGAACAATAGAGATATCCATCACAATCTTCGTCACACTAGAATAAGCGATCAGTACGACCTTGCCGTCTAATGAGAGAGTAGGTAAGGTTGCCTGTCGATTTGTCTTTACTTATCTGACAGTTGAGAATCCAGGGCGATAATCGATGCACGATGTAAATTCTCCTTTTACGATTCTTTCTGTTACTTGAAAACTTAATTCTCCCGCTATCCACTCCTTTTTTTAAAAAATAAACTTCTAACTAAACTGAAAGTATTCCAAGTATTATAACCGGTGTAATTCGTTTACTTATTTCTTTCACCCGGGGTTTCGACAAATCCGATCTTCCATGGTAAGCTGACGTCATCTGAGACATCGGGTTGAATCTCTTTGTTAACGTCGATCAGTGAGACAAATTTTTCGGGACTATAAACAATGCTTATTTTCAGTATTAAACGAACACCTACTGACTTACTGTAGTAGTTGTACGTGTTCCGGATTGATTTGCAGGTTCTCATTGCAGGAAATGTCCAAAACACGAAGTTTTGGACTGACAAGAAATCGAAGCTGAACTTCATCAAGCTGGTTGCACGCAAGGTCGAGAACCTATCGACGATGATTAACCTTTCAGAGTTTATTAACCGCACTCTTTATCTGTGAACCTTTAAACATCTGTTCCTGCTGAAATTAGGTACTTCCTTGATGCGATTTGAATGAGCACGAAAAACCGTGAGGTTTGGAAGCGAACAGATTGCAGATGGTAAGGTGCTGAGTGAATTGCCGGATACGCTGAGATGCTCTAAGTTTTGCAATTTATCTAAATAGCTAGAAAATAGGACTGTTAGAAAATAACAATGAGATTTCGATGAAAGGAAGCTTTACCCGTTTTGCAAACTGGTTAGGTAATTGTAGGACAAATCGAGAACTCGCAGTCTTCGAAAATTGCCAATGGTCACTATTGCGTCATCTGTCAAACTGTTATTGCATAGGTGTAACTGTGTGATTTTGTTCAGCTCCACCAACGGACTGGCGGACGGAAGAAAGCTCAAAGCGTTGTACGACAAGTTGAGAAATTTCAACCTAAAATTTGCCTTCAGAAATTATTTCTTGACAAATATCATAAACAGAATCGAAATGCACCTGTGAAGCGATGCAAAGAACTCTTCCGGAAGCGAGGAGATCAAATTTCGATGCAGCAGGAGAACCTCGATATAACAGTTTTCAATCCCATCTGGTAGAATAGTGATGGAGTTGTGGTCAAGCTCAAGATATTTCAAACATGGCAGACTCGTAAACAAACTAAAAATGAAGCGTTTAAATTTTAATTTTATTGTTGATGGAGAAATTGAATACCAGTCACAAACAGTGCTTATGTGTAGATGTAAAAGTGGCTATGTAAGTCGAAACGAAAATATATCAACCATATTTAAACACATGGCAAAATCGAACTGCATGCAAATGTCTGTGAATGAGCTCTTGCAGTCAAAACCGATGCTGCATAATCGCTATCTTATTCGATCGGAATTGCAAAAATGCCTGCAATAATGGTTTGCTCAGGTGTTTAAGGCCAATCTATAGAAAACAAGGTAAGGTAACAGTATTAACAGAAAAGAGATATCGGTTTCTAGTAGTTGGGATGCCGGTGTGTTTTAAACACTTTCCTGATTTTGAGGACCATTTCATGCGCCCCACGAAGTGTATGGTGTTGCGCTGATTTTCGTTTCCATGCCATCGGCTGGAGTGCATTTTAATACGAGGATTTGCAGTTATATGGCAAGCACGGCACTTGATCTCCTGTTCCTTCCCACAGAATGGTACTCATTTATCTACCTCGGAAGAAAGAAAGGTGAGTAATGTGAGAGGAGCTCTAACACGAGACTCAGAATACCGAGTCCGACGCTTTTCTGACTGAACAACGTAGTTGAGGTTGTAGCAGCATTACAGCGGCTAAAATCAGCTTGAAGCAGATATGAAAGCGGTTTGGTACAGGAAACATTCATGTTGATCTTTGAAGTGAGACTGATGCCTCTCATTGTGTTTTTCGGATTTAACTTAAGGTGACTTGTTTTCTTCGCAAAAAGTTAGTCTTCAACAGACGATAATGGAATCAGGTAAGGGACAGTGATAAAAAACGAGATGACTAGAAAATTAGATTTAAAAATTACAAAACGTTCACCCTTCTCTCCCTGAATGGAAGTATTTTGAGAGCATTGTTTCTTCTGCCATTTAAGTGAAGGCAGCATACTGGTTCTCAGCTAGAAAAGATCGTTCTCTTCAAACGACATCTAGATGATATAATGTAATATTGAATGAGTGTGAAATGATGAAATCCCAGAGACATTTGTAAATTTATTGCTTCAGCACGAGTGTTAAAGAATCCTGCATTATAGCATGGATCAAATAGTAGGAACTTTCTCCAACTAAAGATTTCGCTATTTTATTATGCATTCGTCTTGACTTAAGGTTGTTGTGCAATAGCTCCTGGGATGTTCCATTCCTTCAATTGTTTTCACTGGATCACGCGGTTCTTCTCGACACTGTGCTTTGATAGCGCTAAACTTTTTCACCTTCTTTACTAGGCAGATTACTACATGTGAACAGTTCACTAAACGCAGATGCGTTGGAAAACATTATAAATGCTGGAGCTCCTTGAGGCAGACCTGAGAGCGAGGTTGCCGCAGCAGTGAACACCGCCTTATATCAATCTGCATTATCATTTCTAACGGCCAGGCATCGCAAACCTAAGCAACCTTGCTATAAAAGATCTGTTGGCCTAAGATGAAGATAACAAAACAAAAACAACAGCAATGCAGGCTACATGTTCCCAAATCTCTTTTATGAGCTTTAGTCCTTTTATCACATACAGCTTGCTCCGCGATTTCAACTGAGGTAATAAACGGTGAAAAAATTTCCTTGTGGTGAGATCGCTTTTTACGCAGGATTCCGTGAAGCTTTTGTGGGGAACCGCATACCTACCTGACGTCGCATTTGTTCATTAACCTTTTGTATTCCTTTGTGAGATTTATTTTGAAGGGAATCTAGCAAAACCCTTTGTGGAATAAGTTGTCTGACGGCCACTAAATTATTTAATTTCCAGTCAAGCTATTCTTTTCGATTCTATCACGAAACCATGAAGGCTTCAGAATTAATGCACAGACACTGACAAATTCACCGATTCGTTCCTGAAAAGCGACGAATCGGTGAATTCCTGAATAGCGTCAGCTATTAAACTGATTAATATTAATTGAAGTTTTAAAGTGTCCATCAGACAGTAGGGTCGTCAGTCTCGGGAACTCTTGAATGACCATCTGATAATATCAAGCTGTCCCTATTGACGGCGAGTCAAAGAACTGATAACCGTTTTTCAACTGGCTGCTCCGCAGCACGGTGTCGCAAATCCCATGCTCGAAAAAATCTGCAACAAATAAGTCAAATTTTTAAGCAATGCTTCGACTTTGACTCGTACCTCTAAACTGAAAAGCAAAAGGATTAATTCTGCATCGCTGCCCCCCTCCCCCCACTAAAAATCATCGAGACGGATCTGAGTTGATTTGTACCAAATGTACAAATGTTTGAGTTATGATATGAAGTAGTCGAGATGAATGCACGTTGCTGCGCCGTTGTGCACCGTGGTTTTAACTTGTTGGAAATGCACGTAAAACTTCACTTCAATCTTACCATTCAGGAAGCGCTGACAGGCGATTGTGAGAAGCAACGATTTTCTCTACTTTGACACAACGACAGACCCAGTCCGGCAACATTTCCATACAGTTACTAAATGACAGTAATATAATTCTAACTGCTTAACTTTACGTTTCGTTGTATTCACTGTGAGATGTCGAGAATCTTCAACGAGCAAGGCACAGGATGGATGGACAGCGTCTTCAACTCTGAAACATTTATCTGATTTTCCAAGGGCTCCAGTAATGCACACAAAGCTTACTGTTGAAGCTAGCTTGCACGTTTGTCAAAGACGGACTGCTCAGATTGATGGAAACAACATTGCAACGTTTACAGGATAAATACTGAAATCAAAAGGTTGCATAATAAAATCTAATTGAATTGCATCATTAGCTGATTTTTAAGATTTGGTCGAGGAGGTTATTTCAGAAAAAAATTGCCCACAAAGAAGCTGTGGTCAGCTGTAACGCCAAAGACCTTTCACTGGCATTCCAGTTGAATTTATAAATGACCAAGGTCGAAGGCCAACTAACAAAACAGGTTGAACTCAGGGAGAAAACAAATTTCTCGAACTGTTCAGATATGTCTCCTTAATCGCGACGAATATGGCCAATGTAAAGGAATCCCGACGGGATTTCTTCTGCCTCTGTTTCGCCTGATCTGTTCAAGGAATATGGAAATTGGAAATTTCGAATGGTTGGCATTCACTACTGAGATCAAGAGAATATGCCCTGCTCTTTTCAACAGCTACACAAGTGACGGATTTGCTCTCATTGTTTTGAAACATCCAGACTGCTTCTTTCCAAGAATGTCCTAGTCGTTTCTAGAAAGAAAAAAGTGATCGTTTGCGATTCAGTGACAACGCCACCATCAGGAAGAAAACAGAGGCAGGCCGGTACTCACAAGATCATCATTTTTGTCATCATCCACAGAATGAGACGGGTTTCTTTAATACGCTTCTATGAAGAGGACGAAAGATATGTCAGAAACAGTTATTTTTACATAAGGAAAAAGTTGATCAAGCAGACATTGCGTAAGAAGGTTTAACATTTTAAGTGAAAATGTCGAATATCTGCACGATCCTAAGGTCTTTAACGCCTTAGCGCATTTTAGCCACTTGAAGATCAGACAGCTTTGGGAACGAAAGCAAGTCAGGGATACAAATCTACTACCCCTGTGAATCAGTCTACATGAGAGAACGAGGTAACAGAAGACTGTGCACAGAATGAGTCTGATTAGATGGATGAAGATAGCAGAGAAAAGCGCCTCCAGTTAATCGACAGAGGAAAATGCAAAAATCCACAGATCGC